GCTCATGTGCTGGGAAGGTCCGCCGTTTCCCGTCGAGGCGCCGCTCCTCGTAGATGTTGACCTGCTGGTTCCACGCCGAGAAGGTCTTGGGAGGCCTGTCAGGAATAGCCGGCGTGGCCGTCGATGGCGGCGCCGCCGCCGGCGCAGGTAAGGCCGCCGGGGCTGGAACCGGCGACGACGCAGCGGCCGTCCATTGGCGTGTGGCCTCGACGAACAAGTGGGTCAAGACCGCCGTGGCCACATCGTCCTGCCCGTCCTCCACCTTGTGATCGGTGCCGTCGATGCGGATGCCGGTGATGTACGGGTGGATGATGTGCGTCGTGAACCTCTCGACGTCCTTGGCGATCAGGGCCAATGTGGGCGTCGTGGTGATCTTCCGGGCCGTGATGTAGTTCTTGATGCTGTCGTTGGCGCCGGCCGCGGCGAGGAGGTCGTCCAGCTGCACCATCGAGGCCGCGACCGTCGGGAGTGCCATGGCAACCAACACCTACGGCGTCCTAAGTCGGCTTCCGTGCTCGATAGAAAAGGGCTACGGGTGAGACATCCGTCGTTAAGTTCCGGGCGCGAGCCCTCGACGGTGATCTGATCTGGGCTGTGTGTGGTTTTCCTGGGTCGTCGTCCAGTTGGTGCCAGAGCCGTCGGGGCCGCACACGGCTATTGCCGGCGACCCCTCGGCGGAAAATGGTGACGGCGATCCGTCGGTCAAGCCCGGCGTCGCTCAGTCGGAGTCCGACGTCGCTCCGCTAGTGGAGGACGAGGAGCTCGACGACGAGTCGATCGCCTCCGGTGCCTCAACATCGACGGTTTCCGTCGGGAAGCACTTGCGGCATAAGGCCGGATCCGGCGGCAGCTCGGACAGGCGAAAGAACTGTCGCACGCCGTAAGGCCAGCCGCACTTGGCCTGCCAATCCGACCTTTCTGTCGACGCTTCGTCGACCCCCGGCGTGTGCACCATCTTGGTGCGGCAGTTCATGACATACCGGGGCGCCGAGTCGCCGATCGCGTCGGCTACTGGCATCCTGGCGGGTTCTGGCACGAACTCCACGCCGGGCACCTCTGCCGCGAAGTCGACGTTGGGCACCATCTGCTGCGAGGTCGGCACCGCCGTATCGGCGTGCCCTGCTGCGTTCCCCGTCGGCAACAAGTCCATGAGGGCCGGCGGCGTCGGTGTCGCCAGGGGCTGGGCCGGCGTCGTTGTCGACGAACTCGGCGCTGCCAAGGCCTGGGCTGGAACGCCTGCTGCCACGGCGAGGGGTGCCTGTTGAACATACCTTTCGACGGCGGTGGAGGCCCATCGGCCGAGCAGCTGGATCACGGCGACCGGGACCCCCCTCATCGCCATGAAGGTCGCACCTGCCACTCTGGCGGCGTGGCCGCCGAAGATCAAGCGGCGCTTGCCTTGTTCGTCGAGGTACACCGTCTCGAAGCCGGCGGCGTCCAGCACCAGCCGAAACATCTCTGCCGACTCCGCCTTGGATCTCTGCACCGTCGGTCTAGTCGGAAACAGGAAGTCGGCCGGCGTCGCGGCCGCGGAGGCCTGTATCCGCCGAAGGTGGCGGTGTGCGGCGCATCTTGGGCAGAGTGGGTGGGCCGTCGAAGTGCAAACGCACCTGAATGTGCGTCGTGTGAGATCGGCCTGCCCCCCCTGCGCCGTTTTGTGCAGGGGTATGTCGAGCGACACCGTCGACAAGGTCACGCCGAGGTCTCTGACCCGGGCCGCCGCGAGCTCCACCTCCCTCAGCATAAACCAAGTAGCGACGATGACAACATCGACGGCATGAGCCACCAGGCCGGCGTTGAAGGGCCCGAATGGCGCCGTGTCGTCGACCAACTTGCTGAGCTCGTCGAGGTCGAATGCCTGTTTGAGCCTGGACCCTGGCAGGCCCCTCGCCGCTGCCTTGGTCAGGGTTTTGACCACACGTCGAAGTCCAGGTGTGACCGGCGTGTGGAGGGTGTTCTCCTGGTGCCATACCACCGCGTCGAGGTACAGCCCGGTCGATCTGTAGCCGGCGATCCGCATAGCCCCGGCGATGGTGTGAAGCTTGTTGGCGTCGAGCGGGAAGAGGGGGAACTGACCTCTGTCTGCCAGGGCGCTCACCGTCCTCACTCGCGACTCCATGGCCCGGCGGGTCGACGATGCCAGCAGATTGGCGTCGATGGCTGCTAGTGTGTCTTGGCGTCGCCCGGGGTCCATAGCCTCCAAAGCCGCCGTCAAAGATGCCCGGGGTAGGGTCCTTCTATTCGGCACGTCGTGCCTGGGTGGCCTGGCCGCCGTTGGTTCCGGCTGCGTCGGCGGCACCGGCGCCAGGATCCGGCGCCAGGATCTGCAGCAAGAGGCCCTCGGGCACGCCGTTCTCCAAAAGGACGGCGAAGGAGTCCCTCACTGCCGGCGTGTTGATCGCGCCGAACCTGGCCAATGTCGCGATGTAGGCCGAACCGCCTGCCGAGGCGACGTCGCGAAAGAAGTCGGCGACAGTCGCGGAGGGTCCCGACGATGCGACTTGTTGGTTCATGACCGGCGTCCTGGGTCGGGGAATGCAGGGGGCTAGTGCTGGTCGGCGTCTCGAGCCAGAGCAGAAAAGGCTGCGGCGGAAGCAGAAAAGGCAACGGCGACGACCGAGAACGAACGAAGAGAGAGAGAGAAGCCGACAGCGACGGCAGGCGCGACGGACGAGGCACCAGGTGCACGGCACTCTTTTTGTCGGGTGCGTCGGGCTCCGCCAAAAGGCACCGTGCGGCGTGATCGCCGAGATTAAGCAACTCTGGCAACGACGAAAACGTCGAAAAGAAAATAAGTAATACAGGGCGGCGGTGGGCTCTGATCCTGCCCCCGCCGCCGTCGACTGCCTCAGCGGTGCCGACCCGATGGCCGGAGCCGGGTGACAGGGGCACCCGCTGGCGTCGTGAAAGATCAGTCCTGTGCGCCGACCATGCCATGGCATGCGGCGCACTCGTGACCAATATGGTCACGGCCGTTGCCCTCGACGACGGGACGCAGGCAGCGGCCTAGGCCCGGCGAGTCCACGTCGTAAAGGTCTTCAAAATGAGGGCATTGCGGCGACGTGCAAGGGTGCGAGCACCAACCAAGCACACGTCGGCCGGCCTCCTGGCTTTGCCAGGGGATCCGGGCGCCGCGTGTGTTGGCGGGTAGCGTCGAGCAGAACCAGTATGCACAGTAGGTGGGCGCCGAGGTCGGCGGGGGCTTGGGCTTGTGCCCGTCGATGCCCTGCTTGTCCAGGTTCTCCTCGGCGATCACGTCGTTAAGGGTCCGCCTGAGCAAGTGCTTGACTGACTTCGGCGGGTCGTCGACGGCGCGAGCGCCCCGGCGATGCATGGCCCGCTTGTGCTGCCGATAGTCGTCGGTCATGTTGATCTCGATTTGGCGGATCCTTTCGTCGCTCAGGTGCTCGCGGAACCCCGCCGCCGTCTTGGACCTTGAGCGTGCCCCCGTCGGTGTCGTCGTCCTGGTAGTGGTCGAAGGCCCGGCGTCCATGGAGGAGCCGGCGGGGTCGTCTGCTGGCCTTGCGCCCGGCGGGAACATCCAATCCGGGCGCTCTGCCGCCACCGCCGGGGGGGTCGGCGCTCTCGTTGTGGATGCCCTCGGACTCGGCGGTGTGGACTGCCATGGCGTAGAAGCCGCCGAGAGCGGCGGGAAGCTGGACCTGGATGGGGGTGCGTCGACCACTGGGGGAGGCGGCGGCGGGTCCATGGTCGGCCGCCCTCCTCGTTGCGTCGACCGCCCTCTGGCTGCCGATGTCTGGCTCCCGGCCGTCGAATGGGCGTCGTCATCCTGTCGGGGGCCCACCTGCCGAAGCAGTGACGCGGCGATGTTGATGACTTCTTCGGCGCCCCCCCCGCCGACAGTCGAAGCCGGCGTCTGGATGCCAGTGGCGTCGACAGGACGTCGTGCCCCCTCTGGCGGGGCCCTCACCCGATGACCAGCCGCGTCGATGTAGTATGCCGGCGTGGCCGTGCCAGAAGGCATCGCCGACTGGGCTTCCATTGCGGCGAGACCCGGGAACCCCGTTATGGTCGGCGACGCCGTGGTCTCGGGCTCCCTCGCTTCCGTCGGGTCCAAGAAGGCCGCCGCAGTCCTGGTAGCCGACGTTGTAGGGGCGTCGAGGAAGACCGTGCCCGACACCTGGTCGTCGTCCCTTGCCGCTGTGGGCTGCGGCGGCTGCCAGCTCACCTGATGTGCCCACGCCGTGGGCGGCGCCCCGACGTTCTGCTGCAGGATAGTCGCCGCCGATGAGCTCCCGGGACCCGTCGGTGGAGGCGGCGTGGTTGATGCCATCGGCGATGTCCTGGGACCCGTCGAGCTGGGCGTCATAGATCCATGTCCCGGCGTGGCAGAGGTGGTCGGCGGCGGCCTTGGAGCTGCCTTCACAATCACCGGCGTCCCCTCCGTCGTGGCCCGCTGCGGGAACAGCCTCCCCATGTAGACTCGGCGTTCCTCGTCGGTGGGCGGGGAAGTCGGTGGAACCACAGCCGTCACGGCGAGGAGCTCGGCGAGTGAGGTCCGGTCCTCCATGTCCAGGCTCGCCGCCAGTTCCGCCCATGCGCCGAATCCACCGTCGCGTCCCTTCCGGAGGACGTTGCGAAGCTCTCGAACTGCGACGTGGACTCCAGCTTCCGGCGTTACCGTCGTCTGAGGCCGCTGCGGCGGTGCCTTTCTCGGCATCTGCTGTGCCGACGACGAGGCTGCCGCTGGAGTAGTCGACATGGCGTCGAAAGGGATCAGGAATCTAAAATCTTTGAACTCGTCGAGCCAGAGTGCTAGCGACGGCCGTCGTTAACGGTTGTTACTGCACACACACGTGTGTTTCACAACACAATCCACGAGGGTGTGACATGCCATGACCCTCTCCTTCGCAAGCTCAACGCTGCTGTTTGGGTGGCGTATTCCTCACTCAATCTCTTTTGAGTGAACTTACAAGCATACGTCCCAATTTAGATTCCAAGCCTTTAAGACGCTTTAACCCTAAATCAACGCAGGCAGCATGATGGTCACTGTGGCCGTGCTCGGGCTCGCGAGGTTCACAGAGAGGAAGAAGGAAAGGCCGTAAGCCATGTAGCACTGCCTTAGCGGCCGAAGGGTGATTAAGGATTTAGATGTTACCGCTTCAGGGTAGAAAGTAGGGTACACACACACACATATATATATATATATATATCATATTGTAGTAGTCAATTTCAAACCTACACCATTTTTGAGCAGGGGCGGCGGCACACCTTGACCCTGACTAACGCTTCAGCTGCCGCAATAATGATTGCAACTGCTCACCCTAAAGCTTAAGTCCTACACCATTAAGATTGAGAATGCCCGAGCTGCGCCACTGCTAGGCGAAGCAGGGTCCAAGGGCTTGCCACGACCTTCGAGAAGGGCCCATAAATGCCTGACGTGCGAACCGAGGACAGATATCAACAAATCTCGCTATTCCAGGCTTTCGCTGCGTGTCTCTCTCTCTCTCTCTCTCTCTCTCTCTCTCTCTCTCTCTCTCTCACGAGAGAGAGAGAGAGAGAGAGAGAGAGAGAGAGAGAGTGAGGGAGAGAGATTCACACACACACAGACATAGATTGATAGGATAGAAATGGAGATAAATATGGATATTATATATACATATATAAATCTACAGGTACATGCGTGTATATATATATATATACATATACTTATGCCTTTGCATGTATATTAACGAGAGAGACCATTGCATATTTGTCTAAGAGTGCCCGAGAGAGAATTTTAGGAGTATTCCTTGATTAGGGGTGTTGTGCGCTCCCGCAAGACAATCTCTGACCCGATGCCCGATCTCTCAACGGTTCCTAAACCCTACACCCGGAACCCTTTTTCAGCACGGGCTCTGGTCGTATGCCGGCAAGCCCTAGACCCTAAACCAGGAACCCCCAAACCCTAATAGAGCCCCAACCCCGGAACCCCCAAACCCTAAACCCCACACCCTGAACCCTAAACAACCCGGAACCCCAAAACCCTAAATCACAGGAAAACAAGCGTGAAACTGCAATTGCCATCCCAGAGAGGTTCCTCCCATATCGGAGTTTCCGACAATTAGGGGTACCTTGTTTTGGGGCCCTTTTAACAAGGGTCCTACTATTTACGGTACCTTAGTAGGGTCCCCTATTTTCGGAAACTCCCATATCCGACAATAAAGGTCTGAAGAATCAGTAGTGCTTGCATTCCCTAGACTTCTGCTACGAAACTATCATGCGACCTACCTTTAAAGGCAGGCATTCTTTGCTATTCCAACTAGTGCTATTGCCGTCATTGTGATAGTAATCACTCTTAGTGCCATGTTTCTTGCTGATAGCACCTGCCTGTGGGCATAGGGGATGTGCTTTGGAAGCTTGAGGCTTTGTTTTGTGTATGTTTAGGAGTCGGAAGTCTGGGGGGTGGTGTTTGGGTTTCGGGGGTGGGCTCCTTGTCCGCCTGACTAGCACTGCTCACGGAATAGAAATGCTTGGCAGGTGGTGGGGGGGGGAGAATTGCAATGTGGGGAAGAGGTTGGAAGGGCTTCTCGCTGCCAAATCCCCTTGCCTGTCCACAGAATCGCAAAGAGCAACAACTCCGCAAAATGGCAGAAGTCCTTCGCCAGATATTGCGAGAGGATGGGAATTCCAGCAGTGTCCTCTCGCTTCCTCTCCAAACGATCGCAGCTGAACACATTCATGCTGTGGATGCACACCGGCAGCATCAGCATGTTCTGTGCGATCCCCAGCTTCACCAGAACATCTTCGAAATCTCCATCGTCCCCCAGGAGCGCACGCACCACGCAAAGGAACAAGGCCACGAGGCCCAGATTGGAGAGGCGCTGCCTCCAGGAGCGGCAGAGCTGCAAGGAGCATCCTGGACATTTGTTGAGGAGTTGAATTTAAGTGCCCACAATAAACCAGGAAACCACAATATTCATTAGAGATCCCTATGATGAACTAAACTATACTCCCTAAAGAAACCCTTATGAAACCCCTTCAAAGAACCCTAAATTCTGGTAGCTCATACTTGCAATAACACGCTAAACCCTAAATCCTAGACCCAAAATCCTAAACCCCAAATCCTAAACCGTAGTTCTTCAACAAGAGCCCAGCATCTCAAGTAAAGTACCCATACCCCGGCCCCCAAACCTTATACCCGACACCCCCAAATAGGGACCCGGAAAAGGACCTAAACCAAAACCATAAGGTTGGGATATCCCGGAATCCCCTCTTCAACTAAGGCAATAAGATAAGGATATCCCACCCGAAAGCTCATGTTTGGGTGCTTCTTTGGCTCCCCTTCTTGAGCACGGGCTTTGGTTGTCTTTCGCTCCCCTAAACCCTAAACCCTATACAAGTAGCCCAGCGTCTCAGGTAAAGTGTCCAGAAGGTCTCGGAAATGCCGGGCCGGAACTTCCTGGGTCTACAGGGGTTAGGATTATGGGCTTCGGATTGACGTTTTTCGGGGTTTGGGGTATAGGGTCACGTGATGGGAGCTACAACCTAACTACGCCCCCTGCATCTTTAGGTAAACTCGTATTTAGGAAGCACAGACTCAGAGACCCCAAAACTTGTAACGTAGTTCTGTCTAGCACAGGCTCTCATATGAAGAAAGAGGCAGGAACTCATCGGCCAAGGCTGTGCTGAAGGATCCTGAAGCCAATGACTCTCCTCGGAGGGCTGAGTGGTTAGGGATTCTGTGGGCTTCTTTGTTTTGCCTTTTTGTAGGGTTTAGGGTCTTGGGATGATAAGTATCTTCTACATCCTTTTTAAAAGTGCAATGACGCCCCTTTCTCCAAAGCGCGCCTACCCAAAAGAGGGCATACATTTGCTTCTACATCCTTTTAAGGTTTAAGGTTTCGAGTTTCGGGATGCCTCTCCTCGGAAGGCTGCCCATTTGGAGGCCAACTCATCGACCGACAGTTGCAGCGTCTCGTCTCTTTCACTACCTGGCTTGCAGTTTGACGGCCCTTAAAAGCAAGTATGTATGAATAGGTACCTCTGTAGGAATCCCTGTTGGGGAATTAAAAAAACTTCTCGAAGTGCCACCTAGCTACTTGAGCTGTCTATGAAGTCGAGGAATATGTCTGCCTGAGTTGTCCTTTAAGCCCTTTGAAAACTATTTACTATTATGATTCTCTACCAAACAGTAAGAGAAATTAAAAAAGATCCCAAAGGACAACCCAGCTGCTGGGTTGGCCATGCTCGGAATGGGAGCTTGGAGCACCTTCTCAAAGTACTCAACGCAACCGGCAACAGGTCCGGAGTAGACCAGGTAGCCACCAGTGGCCAGAAGGACAAGGTTGTCAAAGAACTCCTTGGTGCCACAGACTTTCCCCCAACCCTGCGGGGTCTGATCTTCGTTCACTCACATGCCGCGAGGCCATGACTGCCATGCAACCCTATCTTTACCGACCCTGCGGTAAGACCTCGGTGCGAAACGCCTTAGGGCGCGACCAGAGTCTGCCAGCGGGGCTGGTGGATCACGGCCACGGTGGTGCAGTGCTGCCGCGATCGCCCACACAGAAGCTTCACGATGGAGTGAGCTGCTGCCGCATCCTCTTAGCATGTTTTGGGAGATGTTTGTCCATCCCAGATGCTGAAGGAGTAAGGGCTTGAATTCGGCCCATAGGGTGTTTGGGTTACATTGCTCTAGGTTCTCATGGAGGCGGTCCAGTCCACTTGTGGGCTCATCCAGGAAAAGCACGGAAGGCTGGCCGACCTCAGCCACATGCTCCGAAAGGCTACTTAGTAGGAGTCTTGGATCATGGGACATAACGCCATAAAGCACAGATACAGCTCTAAGTCTGGGGCTTTTCAGCAAAGGCTTTGGGTTAAAAACTCTAAACTGTAGCTTAACCATGACTCCCCTGGTCAGTTTAGAAGCTAATTGTAGACCGGGCTTGCAACGGCGCCCCTAATCCCTGAACTAGGTCCACACCACACATTGCCTGTAGCCCCCCAAGGCAGTTCTGCCATCCCTTATTATTAACATTGCTGTTCGTATAGTTACCATTAGTTTCCATGGTGTGCTTCTTCTTCTTCTTCATAGTCTCGTTTACATGTCCCCTTATTGTTACCATTTGGGATATTCCGAAAATAGGAGACCCTAATAGAGTACCCGAAATAGTTGGATCCTTATTATTGGGACCCTGAAATAAGGAACCCCTGGCCTATAACTGTCGGAAACTGCCATTTCTGGTCTGGATCAAGGCCAGGAGCCAACTCCATGGCAATCGATGTGCGCTTGCGCTGCCCACCGCTAATTCCCCGCACGTCAGCGTTGCCTTAGGCCGCAGGGTTCCGGGCGACTATACTGCATGGCTCGGAGCTCTGTTGATGTATAGCCCTCTGAAAACGTCATGGTTGTGACCTGAACTGGAAGCAATCCCACCATCGCCTGACAAGCCGCCAACCACAGTGTCTTTGACATGCCAGATGCCCACATCGCGGAGAACTGTTTCGACTCGATCAGAGGTACTTGTCAGCGGCGTGTTCGGCGGAAGCCTCAACCGGGCCGAAAAATAGACGTTCTCGTAGACCGTCAGCTCCTTGCATGATGCTTAGCTGCATGCACTGCAAACTTAGCAAGCAGGCCTGCGCGGTTGTTGGATGCATGCTAGGGCAAGCCTGACATGTCTTGTCAGTGCTACAACAGCGGCTACATCCACACCCCCAGTGCGGATGCAGATGCACCTGTGCACGAAGGGAAACATGCTGGCGAGGGGATATCATCTTCAAGCCCAATTACCGATATCGATAACCCAGAAGCCAGCTCTACTCTGAATCCCAAAGCTGTTCGGCCTGGAAGGCACCCTGTGGAAGCGCAAGATATGGCACACACGGCACATCACCATTGCAGTGCAGCAGAGGGGCGGTATGCATGACATCATCCTGAGGGACCTCGGCTTAGCAGTTGCGCATTCCGGGAGTTGGGTCGTTATGGCTTTCTTTCGCGGTCCCGCCTTGCTACGACGAACCTCCGATGCAGGGTTGAGGGTTTAGGAGAATAGGCCGAGGGCTTACGGGTCCGAGTCTTCTAAGGGTGATTGGAGGATGTCGTCCAGGTCATGGCCGTCATAGTACACGCACCATCGTCATGCTCATCGAACCAGGATGACCATGCATACGACATCCATCAACCAATCATATTACTGACTTTGCTATCTGCTATCCGTTGTCGTCAACATAGGCAACGGTCAGGCTGTTCTTCTTGTTCTTCTTCCCTGTGCTTGTCCGGGCTAATTACAAACATACCAGTTTTTTTTTTGGACTCCTTTTTCCTAACTGCTGCTCCAAGCGGCCGTCAGAAAGGCCTACAGGCCAGGAGGGTTGGGCGCATACAGACCCAACTCCAGCTGCAAGAACAAACGAAGGAAATGCGAAAAAAACTGCTTGACTCACCCCTCAGTACAGCATGCGCCGAATCGCACCGTACAGGAAGTCAGACGGGAGCCCTCAGTCAACCCTGGCAGTCACAACCCTCTTCACGACGTATCGCTGGCACGCCCATCATCGTCCGCCTCCAGCTGCTCACGCCCTTGTTGTGCATCGGCATAGGCCGCGGCCCCATCGTAGTAGATGCTCCATCTGCGACTCAGCTCGGTAAGGACCGCGTCACCCAGGCTGTGGAGGACCTGCACACTCGTGACCTCACCACCACGCCAGCGGTCAAACAGGGCATCCCACTCCTCCTCACTGCGCGGAACTCGAAGGCTCGGCATCCCCGTTGGAGCAGGCGGAGCCGAAGCAGCGGAGGTCGACACACTCATCAGAGCAGGTAGTACAGGATCCCCACCCCCAGGAAGCAGCAGTGTCTCCTTGTCCGCCTCCGTGTCACTGATCGCTCCCGCAGCGTCGAGGGCCTCCACGCGCTCGTGCACAGCAGCTGTGTCCTCCGCCATCAGAGCCCATTGTCCCTCGATGAGGTTGAGCACCTGGCAGCCGTGTTGGTGGACCACCTGGTCGGAGGTCAGATGCCCTTGCACCCAACTTTGGTAGACCTGCTGGTACTGGTCGAAGTTCAGGAGGATGGCATCTTCAGGCGCCCTATCATGCCCTGTGGGGGCCAGGCCTGGGCAGGAATCAGGGCGACCTGCCTCTCCCACCCCTCGAGGGGACGTAGGCATCCCGGCCCCTGCCAACGGCGGTGTGGGGATCTCGTCCTGGTCAGGCTCGTCGTCACGCCAGCACCGGAGCTGTAGAGTGGCAACCCCGTCCTCACCGACAGGAACACGGAGGCACCTGGTCATATGTGGCCGATCCGAACTGCTGGATGACATCTCAAAAACCATGATGCGGCGGTGCTTTGAAGGAGAGGTAGTCACCGGATCGTCCCGTAGTCGGAGAAGATAAGCCATGTGCACAGCTTCGTCCCTTTCGTGCTCCTCAGCTTCCGCTCGAGTCCTGTCCACAAGCTCTGCCCGGGAATCGCGGGCCTCATGTTCATCCGCCGCAAGCTGGTCCACATCCACGGGCTCCGGGGGAGGTGAGGAGTGCCATGATTCAAGCTCCTCGCTTGCCGTCGGGAGGACCCGTGAGAAGAGCATAATGGGCGGATCCGAAATCATTGGCCGACCACCAGCCTTGCGGGAGCCCAAAGCCACCGGGAGGTAGTGAGCGAAGGTGTGCTCCCAGTGGGCACACCACGCCTGATCAAGCGAAGAAATCGCCCCAAGGTTGACATCACGGTATGCAACCAGAACCGCCAAGAGTTGGGCCCCTTCTCCTTGGATATGTCCAAGAAAGTATCCATCAACAAACCGGGTGCACCTATGGTCCAACCAAGAGATGAGGTACTCCACAATCGCGGCTCTCGCCCCTTTCTGGAGACATTCCAGTGCCGCCTGGAACTTGGTGAGGGCAACCTGCCAGGGAGTGCTTCCCGCCGCAACCGTGGAGCGAGAGTGTAGTTTGAGGTCCTGTTGCATGTAGAAGCTTTCGTCCCCTTGGGCATGCCTTCTTCGTGCCTCCTCATCGCGAGCCCCTTCCTCCGCATGACTCTGTCTTCGCAGTCGGACGGCTTCCGCAGCGGCCTGCTCAAGAAGTTGCCCAACCGCCCGTAGCATGCCGCCCAGCACCTGGTTAAAGGCGAGCACAAAGGTCATGCGCTCGACGGCGTCAAAGTCGAGGAAAGTATCGACCACCGCATCAGCCACCCGGGAAGGAAGAAAAGTTTCCCCGAGTGGTTCATCCAGGTCCCGAATCCCCAGCAGGAGCAGCCATGTGTCCACCGCCTCAGGGATGGTGAGAGGGCCCGAAGGCTGCAGGGTGGTAGAAGACGACGCTGCCCGTCCAGGGTCATCATTGGTTCTTGTCTCCGGTGGTCTGTTGGAGCGAGACGAGTCGGGGCATCTGGGTGGGGTGCGAGGAGGCCGTACTTCCGCGTCACCTCCACGTTTTCGCCGAGCGACTGCCGACAGGTCGACCCGTTCAGCCGTGGTGGTAGTGGGAGGAGGTCGTCGAGCAGGTCGAGAGGGCGCAGACGTCGACCGGCGCCGTCGAGGAGACGGCTTCAGCCATCGCTTGTGGACGCCACGCTTGTCCATAAGACTGGCCTCATCACCCTGTTCAGCAGCCGCATCAGGAGCAGACCCGGAACCCGAAGACTCAGAGAGGGACATGTTCGACGTCAGCACGTCCGTGGCCTCAAGTCCATACGTCACGAAGAGGTACCACAGGGAGTCCTCACATTCCGCGAGCCATTCGCGAGCCCCCGGCGGAGCAGAAGCGTTCACTGGGCCCTGGAAGGTATCAATCTGTCCGAGCACGTCGCGAACATAGGCACCAGAGAGGGTGGTGTAGCTAGGTTCGCGTCGGGCTCGTATGAGCGCCCCCATGGTGTCAAAGATGCCCCGAGTGTTGTAGCCGCCCGTGTAGTAGTCGTGGATTCTGCCAACACAAGCCCCTACCCACTCGAGGCGTTGCAACCGATGGTTGCCCGGCAGGCTTTCCAGGCTTTGCGGTTGCTCCATTCGCATTCTCCGAATCAGCACAGGATCCCTCCGTAGGCGGTTGTACTCCTCCCGTTGCTGCCAACGTAGAGCGGTTTCGTAGCCGGGATGGAGGGGTCGTCCATCCGAAGGCTGCAGAAGAGGCCGTCGTGGTAGGGGTAGTTCTCCGCCAGGTACTCTTCCAAGATGAACTTCTCGACGAAGAGGATCCAGGCTTCCACCTGGACTCCCAAAAAATGTGTGTATGCCGGCAGGTCCCTGGAGGCCGCCACTTGCACAAGAGTGTACAGGGCGTCGGGCAAGGGTGCTCCCTGACGTTGAAGATTTTCTCCACGGAGTGTGGCCTCGACAAACCAGTCCGGCGGCCAGTTGCCGAAGTCGAGGGGGGTGACCATGCCGAGGGCCGTAAAGGGGAGCATCACCATCACGAAGAGCCCTGGGAGGAGACGCACATCACGAAGGTGAGTGTGAGGGCGAGCGAAATGCCGCATCGGAAGGCGCGCCATGTGCGGGCCGACAGGGAAGGCCAAAGCAAGAAGGAGCGCGGGTGTGTCTTCCAGGCGCTGTGGGCGCCAAAGTCAGCCGAGACTCGCGAGAAAAACATCAGGTTGTCAAGCCTTCATCCAGACCACAAGTCGCAGCAAGCCGTCGAAGCAGGAAGATCAGAAAACCCCGACCCCAACCATTAACCCTGCGCCAACTCCCCAGGGAGGATACTAAGCTGCATGCCAGACGCCCACGGAAGATCCCGATCCCGAACCCATTGTATACCCTTGTCCTTCCAGACCCTTCTATCCCTAGCACACTGGCGCCAAGGTGTCCCGCAAACTGCATCCATGGCCTTGTCCATCGAGTGGATGCGTGCGTAGAAGCGGCCGTTGTGGGAGAGTCCGTCCTGCTTAAGCTTTTCTGCCTCCCACCACTGTCGATCCCTAAACCCTTCAATAAGACTGGAGATCGGAGGACTGGAGTGCTGTGAGCCTCTGGCACGGTGGCCCGCGTAGGCCCACCAACGGGACAACCATTCTGTGCTCCATCTGCTACACCCAGCGACATGTAGTACATACCTGGCGCTGCGAACAGAACGTTTCCGAAAATCGGGCCAGTCCTCGTCACTGCGCTTGCCAAGTCGCAGAAGCCAGACCAGCAACATGGTCTGGAAACTGTTAAGCAAGGTCATAGAGGGCCTGTCGGGTGGCAAGGCGGCAATGCACCAGAGGGCCGTGTTCCCCAAAACCCTCTGCATCAGTCTGACACGACCCTTCGGGGGGGTCTGTGCTCGGAACAGGTGTTTAAGCCCCCAGAACTTGGATCTAGCCCTGGCCAGGAGAGGCTGCAGAAGCTCGCTCATGCTCATCCCCACCCTTAGCTTCAACCCCATGACTGGCAGGTGGTCCTCGGCAGTGAGGGTAACCCCTTCAAGCTGGAGAGCATGCGGTCCTGGGCACGTCGGAGAACAGTAGAGAAGGCACTTCCGGAGGTTGAGCTCAAGCCCAAACTCCCGAAGTTCAGCTGCAAACTGCGACAACCTGGTAGAGAGAGACCTGCAGTCCGGAGCCCAAAGGTACCCATCATCCATGAACAGCAGATCCTGGCATGCCAGCTCGGCGAAGAGGCGAGCTTGTTTGCCCCAGGCGTGTTTGCGAGCCGCGCGGTCGAGCGCCACCTCCATAACAAAAGAAAACAGCATTGGCGATTCTATCGCCCCCTGCTTGATCCCTTTGTTTGCTCTGAACGAACTGCAACCCCAGTTGGTTTGTAGCAGCGCCTCAACATCAACAAGCAGAGCATAGATGCATCGGTACTCAACTGTATCCCCGAGCCGCTGCAAAAGTGCGTCAAGAAGAGCCTTCCGATCAAGACAGTCAAAGGCTTTCCGGATGTCTATCTTGACCACCCCTAACCCCACTTTCCACTCTCGTTCAAGTTCACATAGGCGCCACATGGAGTAGACAACATCACAGGTTTGACGCCCCTGCGAGGCGCATTGCGCGTGTGTTCTCGGTGCAAGCTGGCCGCTGATACGGTTGATGATGAGCCGGGAGAAGAGTTTCGCAGCAGACGACCCAAGAGCTATCGGCCTCAGTTCAGAGGGAGAAGTAGGGCTGGTGGTCTTGGGGAGCACGATGACCAAAGGTTTGTTCCACCCGTCCGGGATCTCTTGAGTGCAAAGCACCCTGTTCATGAATTCCAGGAGATGCACATGCCCTCCCTTAGTCACCATGATGCCATCCAGTAATTCCCGAGAAGTGAGATCGACCCCCACAGATTTCCCTGGACGAATTTGACCCACGGCTCTCCGAAGCTCTTCGCCAGTGAACACCTCAATGGACCCTGGGTAGGGCGGGAGCCTGGGAATCGGTGGCCCAGAGTACAAGCCCTGCAAGTGGTCGTGAACCGTGGTGTGGGGATCACGTGACTGATGCTCGGCATACCCAATCTCCCAGCCATTCGCTGCAACCCTGGTCTCGTCCCGAAAGGCCTTCCAATCCCCTTCCGAAGCTCGACGTAGGCGTGCCTGCTCCCAGCTGCGGCGGGAATCACGGCGGAGAGCCAGGGCGTGCTTCCAGGAGGCATTGGTCTTGGACACCTTGGCTGCTCGGAATGCTTCTCTGACCACCTTGGGATCCCTGTACGATCGGCGGGGAGCAGGTTTGGTACAGTCCTTGGCGAGCTGGTGAAGCACATCCTGGTCCAGGTGATCAATCACGGGAGGCCCAAGAGTCCAGACCCTGGGTTTCGTGCAGTGGCGACCATATCCCTTGAGAACCCTGAGTCTAACCCTGAGCTCCATGAGTTCGTGGTCTGTTCCGCAGACCTGGTGGGAGTCCACGTGGATGTAGGTCTGCGCCCGAGTGGCCCCTTTAACAGCTGCAAAGTCGATCTGATGCCCTTCCCTACCCTGTTGTCGGGGCCGGCTTGTGGGCGTGGAGAACTGATGCGGTGGCGGAGCTGTAAGAGGAATCCCCGCCGCGGCAAACTGGTCCAACAGCATAATCGACTTCCCTTCCAACCCCAAGGGCTCAACCCCTGAAGGGAGCTGGACCCAGCCAAGGTGCGCGTTTGCGTCCCCCTGCAAGAGCACTGGCAAGCCGTCCTTCGGCCTCCGACGCAAGAACGAATGTACCTCCTGTTCATGCTTCTGAACCGTGACCCCGGGCGAGAAGTGAAAAGTTCCAACCCACAGCTTCAGGTCGCCCTCAAGGAACTTCAGAAGAAACCACACCCCTCTGCCCGCAGCGATACGCTTAAGGATCGCCCAGGCAGCCGACGAGAAGAGGAGCCCCGTGCCTCTTCATTGATCCCTGCCACGGTGCGTGACGAGCTGCCTTCCCGAGTGAACAGTCTCCACGGACCAGCCTGCCGGCTTGCGAGGAGACTCCTGTACAACACAAAGATCATTTGACTGAAGTGGAGTGCCCGTAGCCATTTTGACCGCATCTTCAAAGAAATCGGGCGAAGAACCACCTATGTTCCATCCGAACATGCGAAACCCTTGATCAGGTGGGCTCATGCCACCGTGACGAGTCGTAGCAGTCCTGGACGATGGCAAAGTAGAAAAGTCTTGGGCCTTTGGTCCGCCTTCAGCGTGATCGCCAGCCCCCGTGCCCCCTTCGCAAGAGGAAAACCCTGAATTCTTCCAGGAAGAAGGTGCGGCAGAGGCCACACACTCATCCAGGACAGCATGCAAAGCGGCCAGCGATAAATCCGATCACCTGCGAGTCGCCTCCAAGGCTTCCCGAAGGCTCCGAACCCCAAGCTTCGTCTCGGTCTTAATGGCAGCCAGGTCAAACCAAGGCTTGTTTTCAAACCGCTCGTCAACATGTACATAGCGCATGTCCGTGCCAGGCGGCACCGGTCGCGTGGCGCTGGCCACAAGTGAGTCACCCAACCAGGTGGACCCAGTAGAATACTCCAGATCCGCCTGCCTAGCCACGTCATCAGACAAGGAACCGAGGGCCCTCTTGAGCCAGGCACAATGTCCGCCGATTTCCCGCTGGGCCTTAGTTTTGCTGAAGGACACCCACATGCGCTTGCCCGACGAGGTCATGGTGGAGCTGTCAAGAATCCCGGAGAGCACGGAGTGCATCCTTTCCTTCTTCGCCGAGTCGAGCTCGTTGGCGCGCAAGGTGAATGGCAGCAAGGCAATGGAGCGGCGAGGACCCGTGGTGAAAGGCTTGGCGTCCGTGTAGTCGAGCAACCCTAGGGAGCGAAGCACTGAGTCAAGATCCGACAGGATGGTCTGGCGCCTGGTGTCCCTTTCCCAACCGCCGATGACAAGAGTGCTGCGGCGCTTTTCTTCTTCGTCCGAGCGCGGCATACCTTGCTGAAGCTTCTTCTCCACAGCCTCAAGTCTTGCGGCAAGCCCCGTCACCGTGGTGTCGACCGCTGCCACCGTGGTCTCGAGCCCCGAGATGCGCAATCCCTGCTTGAGCTCAAGTGCCTCGAACAACCCCTGCGCGTGCTGGCGGTTGGCCTCCAAGATTTGTTCGCGCTGCACATCCAAGAGCTGCTGCATCTGCTGCATGTCGAGAGTGAGAGTCTTGGGAGCCCGCAAACCCTCAGCAGTCTCGGCCCCCAGCAGGGTCGGCGCCTTGTTAGCCCCATCTCGTTTGGCTTTCCCACCAGACTCCAGGTTGGCCCCTTCACGCTTCCTGCTGGGACTCATATCGTCGTCGGTGAAGTCGTTGGGAACCGGGATTTCACGAGCCCCGCGCCCTGCAACCCCCGTCATGAAGCCCTGAATCGGGTAGAGGAGCAACACCCGGGAGTACCGCTCTCGCCGAGCTTACCCTCCTTCTGCAGAAGCAGGTCCCCGAGGATGAAGAGCCACAGGTATGCCCGCAGCAAGGGGAGAGGAGGGGCAACTCGAGCTAGGGCTTTGAGCCAAAATGGCTTGTATGTTTTAATATCTACAGATTCATCCTGATCCCCGTAGCAATACTGCTATGGCCCACCACTACAGCCACAGTAACGACAACTTCATATCATTGCACTGATACTGGTAGTGCCTACGGAAAATAACATCATTCATGATAACGAACATAACAAACATACTCGTAATGATAATGGTGTCGGCAGTACTGACAAGATTAGAATAAACAAGCAATGGTGACTGAATAACAGAACAGCAACTACAACCGCGCCTGTAATACTAATCATCTTCGTCGTCACTACAGTCATTAACTCCAATAGTCTCATCAAAAATATCATGAGGAGCATTTCGGCTATCACTGTGATCATACTCATCATCACACCTAATCGTCCCCATCATCGTCATCATCCTTGTCGTCATCACCATCGTCATCGTCGTTCACATCATCATACGGCCACCACCGACACCATCAGCACCGGGTTCACTGTTAGAGACCGCCGGTGCAAACTCAAGTCCAGCAAATATAGCCAAGCCCAAAATAAGGTGACTCTGAAGTGATGTAGAGGGACCCCCCTAAGGGGGATGGCAAATAGAGTTTGCCAGCAGAAACTGATGGTTGGATAGCAAGGCCTGCCAAGTATTGGCAAGAGCTGGCAAGCCTTAGTAGCGCCTAGCAAGCCTTAGTAGTTTGGTTTGTTCGTGAGGCTTGCAAAGCCTTGCTCAGAAAGAACTACATAGCACACCGAGGCACGACGTTGGTTTGAGCGCTCGTGAGCACTAGTACAGTTTGGCAGCGCCCTGCGAAGCTTGTACTGCTCAGAGCTAGTGAGCACGAGTAGGGACTGCTGAGCGCTAGTGAGCGCTACTGGGTGCTAGTGACTGCTGGTGAGGCCATGTCAGTTTACGCCGGGGTAAACAGAGTTCAAAGGTTGCCTCCAAACCAACTATCCTCAGAAACCTTTGCTAGCAAACGCCATTTGCCATCTCCCCTCAGGGGGGTCCGTCTAAATCATAAGGTCCTGACTCGGGGTCCCTGAATCTACAGCCCCAAACCCTACAGCCAACTGCTCTGAAGTCCAGGTGGAGAGGCAAATCCTGCAGAGTTCCGGGTTTTCAAGTTGGATTCGACGCCCTCCGGGATGGCTTCTCCATTGGCCTTCAACACGCCGGAGACATCTCCTGCCAGACATCAGACTGTGCTATCCGCAGCTTCACTCGTCGAAAGGCTGCAAATACATAAGGAAAAAGCACAACAGAAAGACTTTCTCTGCTTTACAGGAGGTCTCATCTCGAACCCTTGACATAGGCGTCGGCCGAGCCGCCGGAACCCCACAGCACAAACCCAAACTGAAATTCACAACCACCGGCTCCGTAGTGTTGCGCGCGGCCAGTGAGGACGTTCCTTCAACACAGGCAACAACCCGAGGATTGTTAACCCATGGGGGCCGGTGACCGAAATGCGGATCGCGGGAAGGAGAATAAGTGCTTATGAGTACACTGCTTACATTCGTTCCCGCAGCCCTTCGGGAGCCCAAACCTCTAGTGGCTTGTTTGTTGAGTTGTTTCGATGTTTTGCATGGCTTCATAGGGCTTATCCGGAAAGCAGGTGACACAAAAGCTAAGGCCCCAATCTAAAGCCCTACAGTAACCTGCACGAATCCTTGGCACACAAAAAACTTCGAGCCGTGAAGCCCGAGACCTAATCCTAAGTCTGAGCCCTAAACCGTCATCTCCGATCCGGAAATTCCCGGATCCCTCGTCCTGAGAATCACCATGGAACCCTGGTCCAAGAGGCTCCCCCTGACTGAACTCCCAAGAACGTAGCTTTGACTGCATCTTGACACTCCGAACCCTGAGATCGCGGAGTGTTTCTCTCACGCTGACATTGTAACAAGGGGACCTACATAGTAAGAAGAGGGCTTCAGGGTTCTTTTCGGACCCTAAGCTTGTGAACTACAAACTCCCGATGATCCTTAAGCCCTCATCCTCGAGCCAGTAGTTTGCAGGCTTTCCTACTTGGAGTTTCCTTGCTGGGCTTTGAAGGCTTCTCTTGCCAGCCGTATATAGAAACTCAAATCCCAAACCCTGTCAAACCGCATGCCCGTATGAAGCCACAACTTTTTTAAACACTGTACCGAGCCAATAAAATCAGTAAAAGACTCATAACAACAAGACCTACCAAGACTAAGTAAAATCTATGAAAATGCAACAAATAAGCATGTAAAGCCCAATGCAAAAAATAATTTGTACCGAGACTCAATAGCAACCCTCAGCCGAAAACCTTGTCAAAGTAATCCTAAACGCTAAAACCCCTTTCCCATTAAGTATCATGTGCGCGGAGACTCAATAAGCTGGACTTGCCACTGCCGGAGGGGCCCATGAGAGCGCAGCTGCTATCCTTAGGGAGTCAGACGAGATACGCCCTTAGGGTTTAGGGTTTAAGGATTTACAGTTCTTCTTTGCAGGGCTTGTAGGGTTTCGGGGGGCAGCTGGAATCAGGGTTTTGGGCGCAGGGTTTTAGCATTTAGGCATGTAAGGCTTAAGCTTGATATCTGCTTCACTGCTAATCAGTATTCAGACTCTAAGTGCGAGAATCTGAAAAGCACCGGAACACTAAACCCTAAATCAAAACCCTGACCCGAAAATGGTAACTTACCACCACTCACACTAGAGTACCGCTCTCGCATTCACGTAGATACTGTGAAGGGAGGTTGAATTGCACAAGTAATGTGGGTTTGAGGTTCCAGGGTTTAATGTGACAACTTGAGGTTTAGGGTTCAGAAGGCACGGCCCTAGCGACTTCCATTGCAGGTTTGGGCTTGGAGAATGCAATCCTGACCCTAAGAGCCTGGAACCCCGATTCGCCCCGGGCCCTTGCAAACAACCCGAATAAGAAAGAGGTGTCGGCGTCACCGCCAAGCCCTACCAACGGATGCACATCAATATCAAGCGTCCGCGGGGATTTCAAGCGAAATGTTGCGCAGGACCTCGGATAGGTAGCTCGGGGTTTATAGGGCAGAAAGAGATGGAATTTAAATGACAACTGGGGCATAAGAGGCTTGGAAATAAGCAAAACGTCGCGGCATCACGGCACGTGATGACAAGACTAAGAAACATGCAAGATCAAACACAATGCTGCCACAATGCTAGCATATTCCAGATGGGCGATATATCTATATATAGATATACATACATACATACATGCACATGTGTCAAACTTACATATATGTATGTATCTCTCTCTCTCTCTCTCTCTCTCTCTGCCGTGCCATCTTCGAAGATCTCGCCACGCAAGGGCTGGAAGCGGGGGACTAGGAGGCGCAGCGCGACCACATAAACTCCGTCATTCGTCGAGCCCACACAACTGGACATGAACTGACCTTAAAAACCACATTTTGGCTGGCAGGCCGTCAACAAAACAAGGGGATGCAGCTGTTCCAAACGGGATAGGGGGTCAGACCTGAGGTGTTGTGCAAGCTCATGCTACGCAGGGCAGCAAACGATGCAGCCGGACACACCTTTCAATGCGATGGTACGGTAAGTCCTGCATAAGAACAACACAGCAGCCTGCAAGGCAGCAAAATGAAAGGCCGTGACCTAACGCATGCACGATGTGGGACACGACAACACACCGCACGCACACACACACACACACACACACACACACACACACAAACACACAAACACACACAAACACACACAAACACACACAAACACACACAAACACACACACACACACAAACACACACACAAACACACACACACACACACAAACACAAACACACACAATCAACAGTGCAAACGCCCTCCCGGCGACTGAACTCCAGACCAACCACCCGACTCGAGAGACGGGCATTGCATGGAGCGCATCTGTGGAGCCAGAGAGGTCGACGGGTGGACGTGCGCACAGTAAGTAGGTTATAAGTCCCCTAAGTGGGGTTATCCTAATTATAACTTATAACTTAAAACCTGACTTACTAAGTCCCATGATCCTCTAAGTACACACATACATACATGCCTGCATGCATACAGACAAACAGACGGACAAACGGGCAGGCAGGCAGGCAGACCGGCACAGACAGAGAGACGTATAAGCACATGTAAATATCAGCATCAGTAAAAAGTATAAACACACACACACACACATATATATATATATATATATATATATATACATACGTATACTAGATATAGACATTGGGATGAATGTACATATGCATGACTAGCCCCAATAGGCGATGAACAAGTACATTGGCCACAATAGTTTATCTGTTGTGTGTTTGTATATCCGCGGGGTCGGGACATCGCGATGCCGTAACTTCTTGCAAGGGGGCCAGCTTGTCCCCACCGCGTATCTGCAGGCTCATATCCTTGGATACCACGAAGGTTTTGCAGCGCTGCTCATCACACAGACTTGTGCATGCCCGCCTTGATCTCAGAGCTGCTGCAATTGTGGCAGAAGCCCAAACCCCGAACCCAAAACAGGTGTTCTCATGGAGGCAAGCTTCGCGCATCTCGAAGGCCAAACCCGCAGCTGCCCGCCTGGTCCTGGGAGCGGGGTCCTGGGAGATGACGCTTGGGCGTTGCGGCTTGGAGTGTCGGACCGTTTTAGTCGTAAAGGTTTGGGAAGTTAGGGGGCTAACTGCGGTTCAGGGTGATAGGCTTTGTTTGGGGCTTCCAGCAGAGCTTAGAGGAGCTTTTCGGACTTTATGGACACCTAAGTAATACAGGATCCGGCTTGGGGTTTGGGCCTTACGGCCCCTCAGGGCTGAGGAGAGCCAAGATGTGAATCCTTGACAAGGTACTGCTAAGGTACCTCTAAATTGCAAGAAACTGCACTTGTCAGGGGGTCCGTGGCCGAGGTGAAGCGGTGGAGGTCTGGAGTTCAGGGTATTTGAGGCTTGGGATTCGCCGTTCTGGGGTTTGAGTTCTGGTTTTGGCGTTCCTCGTCCCCGACACCGTTGACACGTTATGTAATTGAGGCACTTAGAGCTTGAAATAACCAACAGTTACAGGTTACCAATATGTGAAGTAACACATGAACCTGGAGAATCCCCGATGGCCTAGCTATGTGGGAGCATAAGAAAGAAGGTGGGGGCGTCGAGAATCGCACTCCTAAGTGGGGATAGTTGGGTATTGAGTACTCAGGGCCAGGGTTTTTGCCCGGTCTTGCCAGGATGAGGCCTGTTCTGGTGATCCACTGGATGTCATCTCCGTCTCCAGTAGAAAGGCCTGCAAGCGGACTCTTATTCGCTAGTCCGATTCGACCCCACAGTCAATTAGGGGAAGCGGAAGACTCGGGCAATGAAATGGGAGCAGCAGCAGGCGATGTTTGCATGCGCCGGCGCATAGCTACTAGGCATAGTTGCTGAAGTCTCTGCCTGACGTCGTTACTACGTTGTTGCTTGGCCTGTGGGACTGTTGGGTGCTTCTTGCCAAAAAGCTTCGTTTATCCCTAAGCTCTGGAAAATCCTCAAAGGTGAAGGAAGACGTGCACACCTCGAGCACCCAACTCTTACGTCTTGTTCTGATACTCGATACATTAGAAGGGGCCCCCACCCTGTAATAGTGACTATAAGGATTATGTTGGGGCCCTATTATATTCCTATTATACCACTATTACAGGGTGGGGGCCCCTTCTAACCGATACAGTAACAAAGATTCTGAGCCGTGGTCCTGCTGCACCAGGAGGCTCTGCTGACGCACGCTTTCCAGGGTTTGCTGGCGCGCGATTTCCTCGGAGTGCCGAGGTCGGTGAATGTCGGTGAAGTCGAGGAAATGTGGTACCAAGCGACCAAAACATCTCTCATCAAGAATTTCAGGATCCCTGCTCAGCAAACTCCACTTCAACGTATGGTTTTCCCTTATTCAGGGATATTGCAGTCTTTAGGTATTCGGCTTGGGGATTTTTGGTCTTCGGGGGCACAGGCATTTTAGAACATGCCAGAGCCTGACCCGAAAGCCTCAAAATTTACCACAGGGGCCTGTATCACGCGAAGAGGGCCTTGGGGAGAATGGTGCGATATCTAGACATCAGGAACCTTCAGGAATAGTATTGGAAATTTGTACGGCGGCAATACTAATAAGAGGACCGGTATTGAATTTTGAAACGAAGCGTCTCATGACCCGTAAACCCAAAACTTCCGGAGCTACTAATTACCAGTGCAAGGGCCTTAATGAGCAGAAAAACGATTTAGAAGTATGGGAATGGAATCAGAAGCTATAAAGAATAGTGTGACAAACTCTTACAGCTTCTACATTAAGTTAGCCATGCCAAGGAGCTGTGTAGAACAGGAAGAGCAGAGCCAACACCAACAGCCACAAATGACCCACCACCAAGCAAACTTGAGCCTAGGTGCGCTTCACTGACCGTAGTGTTTGGTGAAAACTTTGCTTGAGGGATTTGGGGTTTCGCTGGCTTCAGAGACATTCCGCGAGGCTTTGGCACCCGCCCCGTGACTTTGAGGTTGTGGGCAGTCCTTCAGCGTCCTAGATATGTGGTTGCAAAATCTTGCGAAACGAAGTCTCATGCTAGCAGGTATAAGAAAGCCGAGTTGCAATATTCACCTGCTTCTCCTGCTCCGCCGTGAAGCTAGCCTGGGTCATGCTAGCAATGCCGACCGGGCTGGTGAACAGAATCTCTCATGTTCGGCCCGATGCATGACAGACATGTCCCAAGCCAAGTCGGTCAAGCCAACAGATTCAGCGATTCAATTTTGGGATGTTGTGGGCGCTTGCAGGGCTTGTACGGCCAAGATGCCCCTGCGAGTAAGAGGAAAGCCACAGCCAAAGCGAAGGCACCGATCAAGCAGCACAGCGCATTCAGGCCTAAGTCGTCATTGCACGGCCAGGAAGGCACGTACTTTGGTGCTTTGCTGGCACTTAGTAAACGCCAAGCACACACCAAAGAAGACACAACACAGAGTGGCTCATTCTCTTAGCAAGAAGCCCAATCATGAACCGAATGAATGCTTCGACACTTAAGCGCGGGCCTCAGGAAGGACAAGGTTCACCTTAAACCCAAACGGGAGTTTCCGAAAATTCGGTGTACCTTATTTGGGGGTCCTTATAATAAGGATTCTACTATTTAAGGTACGATATTCGGGTCCCCTATTTCCGGAAACTCCCAAACTCCTGGCGACGTTTGATTCCGCAACAATCACACCCGAGAGCGAAACTAGCCTGAACCCTGCAATATTTGCACTGAGAAACAAAACCCTAAACGCACAAATACAAGCTTTGATGCCCCTCTTCCGGTACTCGACGTTCGGAGCGGAGAAGAGGAAGGCAGCAAAAAGGCACACTGGTGCCTTGTTGGATTCCAGGGTTTAAGATTCGTGTGTGTTTGGGTTCAGATTTCAAACTGACATTGAAAGGGCGCATCTGCACTGGACAAAAATGTGCAGCAGGTTGGTAGGCTTGCGCGAAGCAAGTCTGCTGTGCTCCCGTGCCCTGCTTAGCCAACCTCCCCTGGAAGTCGAAGTTGTCTAGTGTATAATATGGACGTTGTACGCTGAGGTCAACGCTGGCGAACAAGCAGGAAAGCGACATGATCTGGGCAGGTCTCTAGCGAAGCACAGCCAAGCTCTGCTCCAATTAAGATGACCGCGAAAACACCATCATGGAAGGCTACACTCTTCTTGGGGGTGGATGGAGGATCAAAACATAAAACAACACTTACAAACACTTGGTCTCAGGGTTTGCGATCTCGACCAGAGGGTTTAAGTTGTTTCTTGTTGATGCCGAATATTTTTCTCAACCTGCATTCTCTTCTCCCCACCCCGGCAACCAAGGACATATAATATAACCTCATAAACAAACCCTGCCTCAACCTTAAACCCTAAACGCTGAGCCCTACGGTACAGCGCAAGGCCAAGGAACATAGACGATCCAGGCTGCCGCTAGGAGACCCTGGACAAAAGTCGTTTTAAGTTCGGAGGTCGGTTTAGGGTTTAGAGGGTCCCATCAGGTCTACAGAGTTTAGGTTTTCAGGTTTAGGTGTCTTTTGAAGCCCCGTTTTAGGTCCAATACTCCTGGCATCGGACAGGGTTTAGGATTTAAGGTTTAGGGTTTAAGGTTTGGGCTACGCGGCAGCATAAGGCAGGATTTAGGGCTTTGGGGATTTTTTGCTTCATGCACGGCTCGGTCGAGCCTTCATCGATGTCCTTTTGCGGTCTCGCAGGACTCGGGAAGCCGTTTCGGGTGTCCATTTGGGGTTAAGCAGTTAAGGGTCAGCGTTTTGGTGTTTTCGGGGTTACGAGGCCCTTCTCCTAGAGATTGAGCTGGTCTGTGCAACTTTGGATGTCTGGCGGTTTCAGGTCGGAACAAACTCGTGGCAACCCCTATTCCTTAAGTCTAAGTCTACACCTAGGTTTAAGGAGAAGCTCTACCCCGAGTTTGGTTGCAGAATCTCGCCCATTCAAAGTATGGAGGAAAGGTGCTTTACTACGATACGCATGTATGTTTCGGTTTTGATTTGGGCTTAGCAACAAAACGTCTTCCTTCACAAGCATAAGACGCTAAACTCACAGAGTAAGCTTTGGTCGAAACGGCCTAATACGAGCCCCAGACCGCATTCATCATGAACCTCATCTGCGAGTCCCACTATGATAGCATGCGACTACGTCCCCTCCAAGGATCCCTTCAAGGAGCCCTTATAAGAACCCTTCTAGACCTGTGACAGGCCCTTACACAAGCCAGGCCTGCACCAGGGAGATGAGGAAAGCCCCGAAGCCGACCAGCCCGAAACGCCACAAGCGGAGCCCTTGGTTTACGAGGGGCTTACCCAGAGGCCCCATAGTAGTTCCTTTTTGGGAATACCTTATAGGATTCCATATATGAACTCCAAAAAAGAACTACTGTGGGGCCTCTGGGTAGCCTAAAGCCGAACCTATCAGAACCTGCCCTTTGTGTATGCACCCTAACCAAAACCAATACTAGAGTTTCTAACAGAAGCTTGGCGAAGGTTTAGGCTTCAGGGCTTCTTGAACCCCGTACCTCCCATGCCTTCGGGTTTAACGCTCCGGGTTCACATGCCGGGTGTCCGAAAGACTGGGATTCCTTCTGCGTTGTGTGTTTATCAGCTCGGGTGTATGACGGAGTTCGGACATGAATCGAATTCTTTTTGCTTGGCTCAGGGGTGCCTTCTTAGTTTAAGGCTATGCACACGTGGGGAACGGAGTGAGGCTGCTGAGCACGATAGCTGCTCTTAACACAGTCGTCAGCTGACTGCACTTTGTTAAAAAGGTGTACAAAGTTTAACTCATACTTTCCCAATTCGCCGCTACCGTAAACTCCATAAATCGCATTTGAGGTTATAGTACCCTTATAGCATCCCTTGTAGCAGTCCTTATATAGAGTCCTTTCAACGAACCCTATATTTTCTCCCAGTCGAGGTTGGGGTCTGGGCTTCAGGGGGGTGCGACGAAAGCTTGAACGAAGCCCTTAAAAGGGATCTATAGTAGGGTACTAGGGTACTATCCCTCAACACTTAGAATAGGGTTTCGGGGTATGTTATACCATAACAAAATGAGGAGCCCCCAAAATAGTATAGCTAATTCTTGAGACCCCTATAAGCATATCTCCGGGCTTGGCACAGGTTCAATCCTTTGTAAAGACCAGCTTGACGAACCAAGCAAACTGAGTTCTTTGCTTTAGGAACTAAGTAAGCTACCTTACTGAGTAGCCTCAGTCTAGTAAGGGAACCATTTTCCAACTGTTTGATCTTTATAAAGGGAACTCCAGAAAGTTGGAATATGGATTAATGGTAGGATCCCCTATCATCCGAGGCCGCGGCGGTGCGGCGTTGCCACCTTTGCAGACACAGCAGCTGATGTTCTATGCGAAGCAGCCAATCTTTAGAGAGGCTTGAACGTTAAAACCCCACACCGCGTCAATCAGCCAATCTTTGGTGAGTCTTGCGTCAGTTCCTCGGTGCCCATTTCCCACGTAAGTGGTCCTACAGGCAATCACTCTACCCTCCTTACACGCCGTTAACGAAGGCCGGATTGTATTCGAGATGCTTGGCCAAACCAATCAGGATGAAACAAACTTCCATCAGATGACCTGAGCCCTAAGCCGCAAGGGAACCCCTGAACCCTGTACTTCCTGCCGGTACTGCAAATGCAACAGGGGCCTTAAAAAGTCTAATTCGGTTTCGGGGGCACATTACACTGTAAGTATAATAAGGAACCTTCCAAAATAGTATAGGTAATTATTTAGGCCCCTATATTAACGGCATGCCACAACTTCACTGCGACTTTTTTGCGCCAAGCCACACTAGCGATCGAGTAGACGAGTATGGACGTCCTGGACAGCTCTTCAGACTCCCCCCCCAATGAACACAACCTGGCGAGACCTACAGGTATACATCCGCTGCACGGCATGTGTGTACATATACGTGCAAATATACATAGACACATCCATTCGTCCGTCCGTCCGTCCATCCATCCATCCACCCATCCATCCATCCATGCATACATACATACACGCACACACACACACAGAGAACGACATGAAGCTCATGTCCGTTCGTTACGATGCCCAAAACTAGAGCCATGCTGAAGTGCACCCTGGGGTCTTCGCGAGGGCCACGAGTGGCATGACCAACCACGCCATGACGAGTGTAGTGCAGAGAAGAATCAAGCAGGGGGCAGTCATGCCTGCACTGGCATTTTTGCGTGAGGGCTGAGGCTTTGGCGTTTTACTGCGGCCTATGGCTTATGGGGGTCCCCGACCAGGGTCATATTAGTTCCCAAACTTTACCAAACCCCAAAATCCCAAACCCTTTCGCCCTAGACACCGCCTTGAAGGAACTTGAAAGAGATCTGCTCGTGCACTGGACGGCGGAAGAGGAGATGAAGCCCGAGCTCCAACGTAAGCGGCATGGCGGCCGCTGAGGTGAGCCCCAATGTGTACCTCGTTTAGGGTTTGGGGCTCTGGTGGGGGTTCTACACTGTAACATCGTTTACTATGTATCCCGGGCCCCTGTATACGGAGTTTGCCCCGAAGGCTGTAGGATTCAGTAGTCACGTCACAGAATGATCAGCAGATAGAGCAAGTTTGAAATCATCGTCTTCGTTTGCAGACCAACCATGGTCTTTTGGAATCCTTATTCAATGAGTAGCAGACAGGAGCAAGTTTAAATGGTTTAGGGTTTAGGGGAGCAGCCATGGTCTTTTGGAATCCTCATTCCCGCAACTCTAGAACTGAAACCGAAGCTCGATGTGACCGAGGGGCCAGTTCACAGATGTGGCTCCTTGAAGTCAGTTCAAGTTTAGGCTAAGATGCTTTGAGCCTTTGCCTGTTTATATCATTCCAGGGATACCCAAGTTCGACACAGAATCGGTAGGCAACAATGAGCTGTAAACCCCGTCCTGCTTCACAACGGTTCCACCAACTGCACTCTCGTGGACTTGATGCGGCATCCGGACACCAATGGCCTGGCGAATGCACTTAGCCAGGACACTCCTCCAGTGTGTGCTCTTTGCTAGGTCTTGCTTTTGTCTACTTCCCAAAAATATCAATAGCCCTGCGTCGCTTCAACGACATAGGGCTCCATGTAAACACAAAAACTTGAACATTATCTAGGATTTGGTGCTGCGTTGAGTGTCCTTGGTTGATGGCTGTGGCCGCAAGGGCACTCTGGGTCACCCATGTTTAGCTGGCATCCTTATGCTTGGCCAGGAGGCAGCAAAACCTTAAACGTGTGAATGGCTTTGAAACCCACAGCGGCTGCATGTTTTCCCACGCAGAACTGCGCAGCATCGCGCCATCATCCTCCCAGAACCTCGTCGCACCACATCAGGGCCCTGGGGGCTCAAGTCCGTGCCGACCACTCCATTACACACTTCTTCCTCTGCAGCCAGTGCCTCTTCTCATCCCGCATCCTGGGGAGCTATCTCTGTGGACTCCTCGTTGTCCATTGGATGTCGCTAAAGATCATGCGGATGGCTTTAAACGATCCGCGGAAACGCCGATCTTCTGTGAAAGCTTCTCGTACTCCTCCTCCAGGTTGGGAGCCACCACCAGGTCGTCATCCTCGGCTGCAAAAACGGCTCAAGAGAGTCACTTCAGCCGTGAAGTGGTCAGAAACGCATCTTATACCCCTCAACTAAGCCCTAAACCAAAAAAAAAACAAAACCCTATACCCAGAAAAGGTGTACCCCTCCACCGGCACGGCAACGTCTCTGGACCTCAAAGAACATCTATTTTGATGACAAGGTGAGGTTATCACAGGTACTGTAGGGGCCTATTAAGAATTGGCATAGGGTATACTGTAATTACAATATTAAGGACCACCCCCCCAAAAAAAAAAAAATATCAATTATTAAGGCCCCTACATGCGCGCCTTTGAACCCAGCCTAGCATCCCGGCGGTCGCTACGCTCGGGCATCGAGCCGAGACCTCCACACATCCGGGAAAAGGTCTTGGAGCTCTCTTTGTCCTGATCTTAGGGTTTAGGGTTTAGGGTTTAGGGCTTCACCCAGAGGCCCCAAAGTAGTTCCTTTTTGGGGTTTCATACATAGAAAACAATAAGGTAATCCCAAGAAGGAACTACTATGGGGCCTCTGGGCAGGCTTTTGGGTGATCCAACGTTTAGACTGTATACGCCCTCAAGCAACAGGAATTAACTACAGCTTAAAAATTCCATCCCGTCCTGCTTCCGGAGTTTGTTGCGCACCTCTCGGAGCAACTGGTGGGCCTGACAGGCACTCTTGCCTCTTGCCGGCGTAAGTGTCTGTTTGCGGGGAGAAGTCTTGATGTGAACAAGCCTTGACGGGGTGTATGCGCAACAGAGCGAAACCTAAGGAATCATGAAGCGGCGAACTGCCATGTAGGATGTTGCTTTGAACTTGACTTCGGATTCCCTCTACTCCACCTTCACGATATGTGCAACAGAGCAAAGCCTAAGGAATCATGCGGTGGCGGACTGCAATAGAACACGTGGCTCTGAATGAACTTCGGATTCCTTCTCCTTCATGTGGGCTGCCAGGCAAAGAGGCAAACAAACTCATAATTGGTTTCGCCTGCCTACCCATCGATCTATATGTCGGCGCCGGAATGTTTATGCATACTCAGCTCCACATTCACATACATGTACGTATAGGGTGTGAAAAGGATATGTATGTGTACATACACACACACATATATATATATATACACATGTATACACATAGACATGACATGTACATTCACATGTGCATGCATAGAAATGTACACACACATATACGCGCAGATACAGATGCACTCAAACGTACATAGAGAAAACGAGATGACTGTCAGAGGCACGCAAACAAGTGTGATTACGTATTGTGCTTGACCCGCTATCTACATCCTGCAAAGCCCACATGGCACAATTCTTCCCGGCGAGTGCGAACACTCTTTGCCCTCCAAGAAGCATTCCGATTCCCATCAGGTTTCGGGTCTTGGCTTTAGAATACAGCTCCCGGAAACTATGTTTTTTACATTTTGGGGAATTGTTCGGGGCGCTGCAGATGTGCCCTCCAAGTCCCTAGATGCTGAAGCCTAGACTCGATGCACCAAGCCCTCCTAACCTTTTATCCCAACTTCTTTCTTTTGCGACTGGACTGGACTCCCCAACCCGTGGCGGCTAAATCCGAAAAACTCAACAATCCTCAACCCGAAGACCCTTTTTTCGATCTTCGGCTGGGGTTGCTCCTTGAACACCCCAAAACCCGAAACCGTGTTGAAAAGGGTTTCGGGGCCCATTAGGCTAGAATTATAACTGGGTTGTAGCTTTGGGGCTCTGAAATGTATTTATGAATAGGTACCTCTATAGGAACCATAAGGGAAATTAACAAGTTTCCCAAATTGCCACCTAGATAATGAGGAGCCACCAAAATTTGTATAGGACATTAGTAACCCTAAACCCTAAATCCCTTTCCCCACCTTACTCTTTGCCTGACTTTCGAATTTGTGGCGCGTCTTTCGACTCAAGCCGATCCCGAAGAAGAGAAACCTCTTTCCCGCTTCCTGAAGGACCAAATGACCCTTAAAAGTAGGGGCCCTATACCCATATACTATGAATCCCTATATGGGTATATGAAGCTTAAACCGTTTTAGGGTTCATTTCGTCCTTAAGGTTCCCCCAACTCAAACCTGGGCATTGCCAGGCTCGATCTCCAGAAGGCGCTGCAGATCTTCCACGGCAGCCTGGTACCTCTTGGGATGCTTGGCTTCTTGTTTGGTGTGTTTTGGGTTTGGGGGTTTAGTGGTTTAGGGGTTTTGGGTTTAGGGGTTTAGTGGTTTAGGGTTTAAGGGTTGGGGGTTTAAGGGTTTAGGGTTGGGGTTTAGGGTATTGGGGACAGCTCATCCCTCGACCGAATTCTGAAGTCACCTAAACCACCGAGAGCCCAAACCCTCAAATTCAACCCAAGACCTCTTAACTTACCTTTGGTTAGTAGGGAATGGAAGAATGGTAGTAATAGTAGTTATAAATATACCCCATTCCTCCATTCCCTACTAACCAAAGGTAAGTTAAGTACCAACCATCAACATTCCCGAATCCCAACCATCAACTCACTGAGCCCCCGAACCCGACGCCACCCTACTGCTGATGGACAAAATCCTGCATTACCCATTATAAGGAATATACCATAGTTCCCATAGTTTAGAGTCCTTAGGGTCATGCAGGATTTTGTCCATCAACACTAAGACCGCTTAAAGCCTATAAGTTCAGCTTCGAGGCTGTTGGAGGTCCATCTCCGCTTTTGCTCGCCGGAAGAGAGCTTTGGGCTGAGTAGGACATTCTTGCCTTACAGGTTTAGGGTTTAGGGGGAAGAATGGTTTAAGAGGACATTCTGGCCTTACGGGTTTAAGGTACCTTTTGTCTGGGGTTAAGAGCCGTTTAGGGTTTAGGGCCTGCTTATCTTTATGTAGGAAGGGCACATGGTTCTGCAAGATTACTGTTTGGGCTTATGCACAGAGGTCTATGGTATCTTATGCCGACAATCAGAAGGATGCTTGCAGTGCCAAGTTGCAGGACCTTGCCACACAGCTCCTTGACCTTCGCCACTTCACCTTGTACCAGTTTCGAGTTATGTTGAGCTGAAGAGGGCTTAGGACGCATGATCTGAGGCAATACCCAGAGGCCCCGGAGTAGTTCCTTTTTGGGGAAAGGAACTACTATGGGGCCTCTGGGTAATGACCATATTATATTGAAAAATTGTATTATTTCTGAGACAGTTTGTGTAATTTAGGAGGGCGTACGACGTCGGAGGGTCTGTCGAGGGGTGTGGCCAAGGAGCCTCAATGCGACATCCTCATCTCGACCTAGTTGCGGCTGCGGGCTGCGATGTTTGGAACCCGCCTTTATATGGTGTCATGAAGGTACAAGTATAGTGTCATGGAGGTATAACTACGGTATTATGGCAGTACACTTATAGTATTTGGTAGTATGGTCATCGTATGTAATGACGTTATTATGGCGCGACATGCAGCTCCCTAGCCCTAGACCCAAAGCCCAAAACTTCGAGCCCTACCCTTGCAAGCCCGCATTAAGCCCCAAGCCCCAAAACTTAAACCCTAAACTCCCTTGGAGGTCCCTGATTATGGGGACTCTTTAAACAGCCAAAACCCTCAAATCACCATTGGTTCACCCAGTCGCCGAGCTGTAGCAGGCATGCCGCCTGGTTCAGGTAGGCCACTCGCCGGAGCTCAGTCGCTTCCTCTCGCCTCTTCTGGAAATCCTCCGGTCGTAGAACCAGGGATCCTCGTCTGACACAGACATCCCCCGCCCCCCTCCCTCTCCATAAGGTTCTGAATACTTGATGGTAGCCATGCAGCCATTACCAAGGCCAGAGGAATGGCTCCGGAGACCAAACTCCGACATCTAAGCCCAGGACCCTGAACCTCGAATCCCAAAGCTCAATCTCAAATCAGAAATTCTGGTTTGGGATAGTAGAGATTAGGTCCTAGGCGATTGCAAGGTCGAGGCCATGTCGGGGTGTAGGGTTGGGCAGGGTTTCGACGCTCAGCAGGGTTTCAGGTTAAAGATATAAGCTTTCAGAGGTTTCATTCATATGGCACAAACAAATTAAAGATAGCCCAGGGGACCGCGTTGATAGTGGAGTTGCCCAGAACCCTGTGTGACGACGGTGCAGCAAGCACCGCAACCAAGCCATGAGCTAGACCCTGTGCCATTCCCACCATGCGCCAGATCGAGGAATCCACCCATAAAGGCGCTAAGAATAGGACTGAATAGGGTTTAGGGTTAAGGAGTCCGTCCACAAAAGCCCTCACAAATGGGAATCCCCGATCGCTCTGTACTGTTTTATCTGGCATAGCATATAGGGGCGATGATGTCCAAGACACACAGATGGCCCTACACCCCTGACCCTCAATCCACCAAACCCCTACACCCCAGAATGACCGAAAACATAGACCCAAAAACCCGAACACCCCCCACTCCTAAATTAGG